GTGTAGAAGTGAATCATTTACTGCTTGCAAACCAATGATGGTAAGATGATGTCATGGGGTAGGACTGGATAAGTCTGACTTCTTCCTACTCCATTCAAGCATGTACTAAGTATAAGCAAATTGATATTGGATTGTGTGTAAAATTATGTGTGTTGTCATATCAACTGTTTTACATGCCTGAAAGAATAAATCAAATCAAATCAAATTAAATCAAACTGCAAAATTCAAGTCTGATCAATGAGGACAGGAAAGAAAATAGAAGAAATACTGTGTATCATTGTGTTAGAGTGGTAAGAAATAAAACAAAATATTACATTCCAGATTCACCTTTTGATAAAGTTTTTGTGGTAAATTTCCTGTTAATAATTAAAATGCTAATAGAAATAATAGCCTTGTTTATGAACCTACATCTGTTGTTGTAGTTGTGAGAGTCCATGAATGTCACAGCCATGGGATCTTCTCCATGCAGAGTGCTCTGATCAGCGTAGCTGCGGTCCATGGCGTTCACCATGTGCGTCATTTCCTGCCGTGTGGTTCCAATGGCGTCTTTACGTTTTTTAGCCAGTTTCCTGTCAGAACAGAGATGGACACAGTCAGGTATCATGCAAACAAGTACACAAACATCAGCTGGCCTGCAGACCACCTCCCCACTTTGCTTTGCCTTGCATGGAATTAATGTTCAAATCTTTATATAAAGCGTTAGACTTAGTATCTGTAAGCCTGTTTTTGGCAACAGCAGCTTGACTTGGGGCTGCAGGCTGCTGATTCTCAAAGGTGGGGAGAGAGATAAAGAGAGGAAGGAAAGAGGAGAGAACAAGCAAGAAGGTAGAGGAGAGGTTTGTTTGTAAATGTAGCATTTAACAGGCTCAGGTACAGGAGCAAAGGGCAAATAGCATATAGGGAAAATTATCCACAAGTAGCAAAGGGAAAACTGTTTATTAACCTTGGTGCCTTAGATGAGCTGTCAGGTGAAAGCCTCCAAAAATAAAAGTTTAATTCTCAACATGATAATTAGTTGTGTAAATGCTGTTTGTAATTTCATGAATTTTCTGCACTATCAGAAAAAAAATGAACAAAAAGGAGCATAAAATCACAAAAATTTGAAATATTTGGTTTTCATCTGACAGCAAAGATATGGAAAATCCAATTAAAATAACAGTAGAGGAATAGCATATGATCTATAGCAGCCAAAGGACAAAACACAAAGTACCACAGTTACCATCACATGAGCGCTAGGACTTAAGATTGTGTCATAAACAGTCACTCCAGTGTTATAAGACAACAGGAAACTGTTTTTCTTTTTATTAGGGAAGCTGCATTTTAGCAGTTTACAATGTAACCATAAAGATGTGTTTTACTCTCTTGGTGTGTGCAATCCATAAAACCCCAGGGAAAACAACTGTAAAGAGCCTAATACTTCGAGCATGACAGAGCATGCAGGAACATCATATACCCAGCGCCATAGATGTGCATCAGTTAACAATCAACAATCATCGTGATTTTCATGGTATGATCAAGTTAATTCATTTATTTAGCAAATTTCAGTCACAATATAAATTAAAATAGTGGTTGTAGCCGTTGAATGCAGAGGATTGAGGACATTGGTTTTTGATAGTTGCCAAACTGATACAATGTATGGCTCTGACATCTTCCTAGCAAACAGACATGAAGCATGCCAATTTCTTTGCATTGCATATGTTTTACCTCTTGACCCCAAATACACCAACTCCACCTCTAAGACACATGAAACACACACTAACCACTGACCAGGTGAAGCTGTTTGTGTGGGTGTTTGTGAGTGTATTATTTGTTGTCTAACAGAAAATATACAAACAGGAGCGAAGGACAGGTTTATATTATAAACCATGTATATATTGAATAGAGGGAAGAGAGAGTGACAGAATTAGAGAAGAAGTGGAAGGTAGCTGTGACCACACACGATCAACAAAAATGTACAGTATGTCAACCCTGTAATTGCCTTGTTAATGAGATACAAAAAGGTAATCTTTCTTTGAGTGGTTTGGTAAAATATTTCATAAGATTTCTTCAAAAAATTTCTTCTCCCTCCATAACTAATAACACACCAGTTTATACTTATAACTGACTTATGCATCAATAATAATGATCAAATAACACACCATTCTGCATAATGAGTACTTTTGCTTTTAAGTAAACATGGCAAATAATACTTCCATACTGTTACCAGTAGAAGTAAAAGTAATGTTTCTGAATGCATGCTGTAAACATACTTTTTAAAGAGTATGTTAAAAAGTCAGATAACAATGTATAATACATGACATAGGGATTATTTAAATGTAGAAAAGTCAGATAACAATGTATAACACATGACATAGGGATTATTTAAATGTAGTTATTCAAAGAATTGTGACCAACTGAGATACAGACATGGCTGAATCTGCTGGTACCCTTACACCTCAATGAAGCAATGCTCTGTTCCTCTTGAAAGGTGCTGGGATTAAAGGCTCTTTAGTTGTTCATGTGTCTCAAAAGAGCTTGTGATGAAGAAACATGTTTTTGTTACATCTTCATAAAGTCAGTGCAACAATGGGATAAGGAATCCATTTTGGTCACAGCTGGTGAGAGGCAATAAGAGACAAGAGCAGAGGAGGAAATACCCATAATGAAAGTAAAAGCATCATAAGACACAAGATCAGAGGCCACGTGTCCCAAAAACAAAAACCGACCGGGTCAGGTCCACTGACAGAAGAGAGACACCGAGCATGTGTAGCAGAGTTACCGGTGATACCTGTGACTTGAATGGCTGATGGATGATCACATGACTACATGCACACAAAGAGCTACAAGTCACAAGTGCAGCATTCTTTTTTCAATTAACACGCTCAGGCCTGTGCCGTCCTACCTTGGCCTGCTTTGTTCTGGTTTCTGGCCAACTTTGGCCTTTATATGTCTGCTTCAGAGCAACTTTGGAGCATGTAGAGGACACCGGGGCTGAGGTCAATTCCCTGACAGTTCAGTCCCTTTAATAAAAGCTGACATTTCATTTATTAATGATGCAGCATTTGTTTGTCTTATTAGTTTTAAACTGGAAACCTTCTGTTGATAAAAAAAAGTTTACATATAAAAAAACAAAAACATAAAAAATGAGGAATTCACTAAAATCCTGAACTGACTATCATGAAAGTGAATTGACCCCCACCCAGGCACAGTGTCAATGAGGATGGCTTTGGTTGGTTGGTCAGAGCTGAAAATGTGTTTTATCTTGAAAAAAGTATACTGCATCTTTAAAAATAACAACAACTAGCCACTAATAATTCGCCCAATAAGATAACAGCAGCTGAGTGAGCTTATTGTTGATTGGTTGTTTACTTACAGGTAATAAGAGTATGAATAGTAGGTCCTCCTGGGGTTGTGAGCCAATCAGAAAGCAAAGAATGAGACACAAGGGTCATGAATATGCAGATTAGGACAATACTGTCCTGTCCCAACCAGCAACAACAGAAACAGAAGAAAACACCTTTTGATTGTTACAACTTGAGGGTCATGCAAGGGGATTGTTATAATTATTGTGGGCTCTATTTCTTTAGAAAAAGTCCAAACTCAAGTTTAATGCTAAATAAATACTACAAAATAAGCTACTATCAACATGCAGTCTTTCTCTTTTTTTACCTCTAACATTTAAATGCTCCTGCAGTATTTTTAAGCTTGCATTTACTGTAACTGGATATCCTGATTAGCCCTAAGCAGCCAATCACCTTTACTCACTCCTATAAAAATAAACAATGAGTCAAAACTGAAACAAAGCTATCTGAACTGTTATACATTCAGCTCGCTTTCCTATGCAATGTCACCATGTCCCACCATTTTAAAGATGCAGTATTGTTCAAAGTGGTAAAGGTTCAATGACAATGAAGCTTGATCTCCCCAGAAACCTTTATGGAAAACTCTGTTCTGTTATGTTGCTACATACCACAACCTCCTGACTTTAGGCAAAAATGATGTATTCATAGAACCATACTTGTATGAGCTGAAGTGTTCATAAGAGGAACCAGAGACTCGCTGAGAGAGAGAGAGAGTCTGATGGACACTGCTGATACTAACATTATAATGGACTCATAGCAAAGCCCAGAGCTTGCTATCCTGCCAGTAGATTGTTCCAAATAGAATGCACATGTAGATGGTTTTAGTAGACACAATTCATTGCTGGCTTTAGTCTCCTTATAGGATACTGTAACAAAATATAGAAAAATGCTGCCCTTATCCTTTAACACATGATATTGTAGCACAATAAAAACTCAAAATGGACTTTCAGAGCACACTTCAAATTGCTCAAAACTGTCCCATGCAGACATACTGCATGTTTTCTCCAATGGAGACTCTATCGGAAAAATTGCTACAGTCTCATATGTTTTCATGAATCAGCATAAAAAATAAAAAAACATAAAAACTTACTTAAACATTATACTAGAAAATTTCCCCTGCATCCAAAAATACCACTCATTCTGAGTTGTTTATGCTGGTGATATAGAAACCAACCTAAGTATAATATTTTAGATAATATTTCACTGTCCTCCTGCTGCAGTCCCTTGACAATTTAGTGATCTGTGACCATATTTATTGTTTGCTTGTTTTTGCCCAAATGCATGAATGTGACTTGAGCTGGTTACTGTATCACAAAACAAGAACAGACACTAAATTTAGATCCTCCAGGCTGTGCATGCAATTACAGGAGCAGTAAACAACAGTTACCTCCAAAAAAATGCATTATCTTTCAATTTGGACCAATTTTCTACTATCAAAAGGTCTAAAATCCTCAAGGGGACAGATGATGTTCAGTAAAACCTGTTACAGCCACTGAGTGTGCTCTGTGGATCAAACACCGTTGGTAATTTGGACAATAGTGAGTATATTCCAAACAGCACTCTAGATGTAATTTACAACTACAATGTGACACTAAAGCTCCAGGACAAGTGTCGGATCACCTGAATTCATTAAGAGAATTAAAATAAAAATATGGAGGTCAGGGGCTGCAAGAGCAAAGTTCTCTGATGATGAGAGTTCATTACTGACTATAATTTGCCACATTATTTTTGATTTACTGAATGAGATCATAAATGATAATTAATCTTGTAATGTATCCAGGAAATATGGTGATCACTGAACACTTGTACCAGGATAAGAAATGTGATATGAAACGATTGACTTTAATGCATTTGTCTGCCAATTTGTATGTATGTTATATTCCTAATTATTTCTGTTTAATGTGAAGCCTAGTTTCCATTAACAGCAGATTTTAAATGAAAGGTCACAAGAACAAAGACATGTTTAGCAATAGTTAATTACTGCACACATGCATACTGATGTGCATGCACCCATATGCCCACACATGCCCTGAAAAGTACAAAGATGTAATTCAACGTCATGTAACAAAGACTGTCCAGACATGGAGCGGGGTTACCTTTGAGTTCCAATGTGGTTCTTCTATGTAAACTGCCTTTTGGCAGCATAGATGGAAAAAATAAGATATTCTATGTATACTTTTGTCTGATAATGTTTGTACTAATAGACAGGTCTTAATAATACTACTCTCATGTTAATAAACCCCAAACATCATGTTTCATTGAAGGTGGCTGTGGAGCACTGGAAATTAAAGGATCTACTGCAAACCAGAACTGTATGGTTTGGCTTCTGTATAGCAGTACAGCTGCCATTTTCATATTGTAGTTCTGTTTAGCCACCACATAGTGGAGCCCTGCACCAAATTAACAAAATCATATAGTGGCACCACACCAGCTCCGATTCTTCTTGATACCTTTCTTGAAGAAAAGGTTGAAATATGAGGACATGAAATTTTGAGGTGTTCTTTCAGTCTCTATTGTGTTCATCTTTTCTTTTTTCCTTTTTTTTCTCTAAACACAAATGCATTTCGAGAGTGATATAGTACAACACATTACACTAAACATTGTTTTTGAATTCTTTAAAGTGAAAATCGTGTGAACCCCTGACTTCAACCAACCACCCCTCACTCCCCCACCTCCTCTTCACTCTACACTTTATAGAGCTGTACTCTGCCATAATATCCTTCTTTTTTCATTTAGCAGTAAAATACAGCATTCTGCACTTCTATTAGATCTTTTTTACACAATCCATTAATCTTGGGAAGTTGCTTGACATCTTTTCCATGATTGTGTCTTTCAATGTGTCTCTTTTATTCTTTCAAATGAAACAGCTGTTCTGTGTGGCTGTTGTGTCTAGTTTTAATAGCTGTACTGTGCAAGAAAAGAAACCTGACCTCAGATTTTCCTTGCATTAATTCACACAATAGTGATGCAGGATTGGATAATTTTGAAAATACCATAAATTCATATGCATCTAAGGAAAAGAAGCTTTCCCAGCTATTTAATGCCTTGAAACAGAGCAAACTTCACAAAACAATCAAAATGGTTCTGAAGGGAGATCAATGTTTATGGTAGATGAATGGAAGATGGTGTAACTACAGCAAATATTGGACCAACACACAACAAGAGAATGGATTTAGGTATACAGTTGTGTCTTTGTGTTTTTGCATCTGCTTCCGTGTTGGTGTGTAATGTTTTCACTCGTCTTCAAACTCTTTATTGTGGCTTTTTATTGTCACTCACCTCTTCTTGACCAACAGAATGGCTACCAGCACCAGCAGTATAAAGACGAGAACACCAGCACTGATCCCAGCGATCTTCACCACCCGATCTGTCTGTTTAGCAGGGTCAGGGATGACTTCTGGCTCCTCTGTAGCACCTACAACACAGCAGTGACAATGCAACATCAGTGCTGTGACTCTAACATGGCATCAGCTCAAACTGATAGTACAGAATACTACAGTAATTGCTGATTCTTTTGCAGTATTACATGTTGACAAAATAATCGAAATCACACGACAAGGTCGTTTAACATCCACATTTGTAAAAGATCGTTGTGCATACAAGATACAAAGCCAAAACCACCATTAAAAAAATCACCATCCAAGGTTCATTTCAGAAGCATTTTTTGTTACATTTCTTTCAATTCTCTTTTCATCCCAATGGCGCATCATCCGTGGCAGCAACAGGGCTGAAAAAAGCCTGACCAGTAATTTTACTTGATCTGAGCAAAAACTTCCTACTAGCGCACGTTCTGTCCTTGCACTCTGCAAGAGCCATGTGTCAGGACTCGTGACTTGACTTGGACTTGAGCAGTGATGTCTCTGACTGCGACTCAGACTAAAACATTGACTGCATTTGGACTCAGAAACTGGAGACGAGGACTTAAGACTTTTTTGTTGTGATAGGCCATAAGATACTGATGTTAAAACCTGTTCACCTGCACCACACTGTCTCTGGGAAACTTCAACTGAAGCACACATTCTACTTTTCTATTAATGAGTATTTTATGTATCAAATTGCCAAATAATGTGGTGATACAATACACTGTTAGAAAGTATGGAATATAAAATGGTGAGAACTGTGTCACTTCTGTTTAATGTAGACTTTGATGACTGACTCGGGTAATGGGGAGTCGACTCAAAAGCTGCAACGACACTAAAGAAAACTGTCAAAAATAAATAGACACTGACTACTTATACACAAACAAAGAAATGCTCAGTTGAGTGTGTCTTAACTGTTTTATCCTTGGTGTTATGCTTTCACTGGAAATTGCTACTGGAATTAAATTTGACTGTAGCTGTCCAGTGTTTCTGCATGAATGTCACAGTATATTACTTGTACCTCAAACTCATTTCTGCTCCTGATGACTTCAGAGAATTGACTGAACCCCCTGATTTTGGAATATAATTCACAAATGATGCTTCAGGCAGAGTGCATGCTGTAGAGCGGTTTAAACTCTGTTGATCGTGGACAGAAAGTCAACAGAAACAGACAGTGTGTGTTTTCATGCTCCTAAGCTCTACTTAGTGATCTGATCTCATAAAGCCAGAATAGTTTGTACTGCAGCATAAGAACATTATCATGCATTATGATAATCCAAATAATCCAACACAAAGGCATATGTGCAAAACTCTGCATAATGAAATACATCTATCAAATAATAATCTACTTCCAATGCTAAATATCAATAAGATAAACATAATCCCCCCTTTATCTGTTTCAATATTTGTGACCTTAACATGTTTGTTTCTGCCACTGAAATCTTTGAAATGCTCCCAACACACCCAATGTCATAATATATTGCACAAAGGTTGAGAGATGGAAGTATTAGCAGTAGTAAATGAGCCAAAATATTGCTTTTAAAGGATAAGGTTTGTGTAAATCTATATGTTACTGTACTGTAAACTCCAAAACTGTTTGACTTCAACTAAAGTGTCCGTGTTCACTGTAGTGAAGAAACATGTCATAGCGCGGGCAGCGTGTAGCATCTTGTGTGCATCTCACTCTCACATCTATACCCAATGAATGTTCACTTGTGCATTGGAAGAGCTTGGTTTATAAACACTGCACAGATGAGCCTGCAGAAATACCCTGGAAAAGGGAAAACTGGGGTCTAAAACAAATAGTACACAATGGGGTACTACTGGCTACACTTGAAATGCATTTATATGTACAGCGTACTCAACCCATGATTAAACACCAAATAAAAACTACACACACTTATTGTGTGCTCATTGAGATTGACGAACAGACATTCTTCTGTTTTAGTACCTGTTGCACCTGTTTATATTTGGAAAAGTATAAATATTGCCTTTCATGTTCAGTTGGAAGCTCATTTTAAATTGGAAGGGGGAAAAAAAGTACCCTGGAGTACTTTTATTTTGTCTGAGTGAAAGAAAGAGAAAAATTGGCCAAAATCAGAATCGGCAGTTCAGAAAATTGCTATAGTTATAGCTCTACTTAGCAAGTAGACAAAGACAGTATAATTTGGACACAAGCACAGCAAAACTTACCTATAAATGTCATATTGACTGAGGCTACTAACTGTTAAATGTGGCCTAATGTCCACAGTCACCGAGATTCACGTGGATCAATAAGAAAGAAAAAAGATAAAGGTACTAAAATGTATGTTTAAAGTAATTTAGAAGCAGTGACTCTATTACAGTGTATACTTTGTCAGCAATAGTTTATAGTTTACTGTTAAAATGTCCTTATGAAGTTTCGGTTCATGACACAAATCTAAACCAGACTTGCTGGTCTCAGGCCAAGAAACCATTTGATAACTACACAGCAGAAAAGCACCAATATAAAAAGAAAGACAATATAAAAAGAAATAAAACATCTTTAAAGGGTTTTGGCTCAGACCTCATAATGTCAGCAGTAGCTTTTAATGCCTGTAAAAATTATCCAGGTCAGTTGGTACCGCTCACAACTTAAACAGCCACACATACAAACACCCTGAGGCACCAGTGACAATACACAATGGCCCAGATGACCTAATAGGACTGCTCTCCTCCCTCCTGGATGCATGGTTGAACGCACACACACACATGGAGATGGACGGAGAGAGAAAGGAAGGGACAGTCAGCTGACCTCTCTGTCCATTACTGTGTCTTTCTCCACTTATTAAAAAAAAAATCTAAAATCCTCTCTAGACTCTTTCAGCTTCGCTCAGTCCTCCTCAGGCTAGAAAGACACAGCGTCATCAATTTGTAGCAGCTTCTGGCAAAGAAAACACACATTCTAGTAACGACAACACCGGCAACTCTTGAAATATGATGACACTGGAAACAGAAACTTCCTGTATTTTCTCAGTTTAGGGTGATAACATGACACCTTACAGGCTCAGGAGGGATTGAACCAAACCTTTGATCTATTCCCATGGGTCTACCTGCTTGTGTGTACACAATCACATTGAACACAACAGTCAAAAGTCCAGTTTCTTTCAACCTGGCCCTTTTTTTTTTTTTTTTAATTTACGGTTTATATTACAGAAACATATACTGTACATAGCATAGACCAGCACCACAAACCACCTGTCCTTGGATAGACCTTACAATATATGACTCAATCAGTCTTAATCATTCACTCTAATCACTGTCAATGTCACTAACAAAAACAGGGTAATGTATTTTTCTGTTTATCCTTGTTCTTATGCAGCACAGCTAAACTGTAACACACCAGCGGCATTTCTAAAAATCACTGCTCAAAACAGCATGTGCGCAGCTGTGTGTGTACTTTGTGCGATGCTGCCCAGGGATTAACTCTGCACCATTTAAAACCAGTCTGATAATCTAACAACATATGGCTGCGAGTAAATCATGACATAAAAGTGTTGTCTCTTTCTACCACACATCAATATTTTATAGTCATCTCTAATATTCTTAATACAACAGTCGACCAGTCGCAGCAGGATGAGGCTATCAGCCATGACAAGGTTGTAGAACAGGAGAAATGGAACAAGGGATATCTGATAAATAACATCATTAAACAAACAGTGATCAATTTAAAAACAGAACCAAGCTAAATACATAAAACCTATAGCTTCTATCATTTATGACATCCCTACATTTATTCAGCAATTCTTTTGTCTCAGCAGCCAAATTTAGAGACACTTTTTAAAAACCTGAGCTGTATATGATTGTCACACTAAGTTAAGGTTTTTTTTAAGCAATGATCTTAATAATGATGGTTTGTTTTTACCTTTAGTAGCCAGCCTCAGACACTGCGTCTTAGTTTCCTGAAGAAAAAAAGACAAACAACAAGGCCTGAGCCCAAAGTTCCCTCCAATTACAGCACATACATCAAATAATGTACATAGAGTACATGTTTAAGGTATTTGGCTAAACAAGAGGAGCATACAGCACATACATCAAATACTGTACACAGAGTACATGCTTAAGGTATTTGGCTAAACAAGAGGAGCATATTCAATTGCTTGCAGATATTAAGTTTGAATTAAATTCTGATACTCTTGATGTCATCACTGTTTCCATGTAGAAGCTGTAAACTTAATTAAAGTGTTGGTGGTGTGTCTCTTTGAATGTGCACATGCTGTATATCTGCTCCTGTGTCTTTCATGTATTCACTGGAATAGATATTTATTTACCCGCTCTGTGCTGCTAACAGCTTGAAGATAGATGTTGTAGTTTTTCCTTGGAGCAAGCGGGGGATTCCAGTAACCCTGGGGAGCAGAGGGAGGGATCATAAGCTTTATATGAGGCAAAATAAACATAGATTATCACCTGGTGTTTTCACTTATTACGAAGGATATGTTTTCTGTGCCATTGGTTTCTCTGTTTGAAAACGTGATACCACTGTTGTGTCTGCATGCTAAATATGTCAGTACAGCCAACAGCCCACTAAAATGTAGATTGTCTATACATTCTGGCCTTTCATTCACACGCAAATGCCATTTTAGGTCACTGAAAACGAAGCTTTTGGAAAACTCCATCCAGGTTGAAAATATTTAGAAACTCCATTTCCAGCGTGAGTTTGTGGCTTGTCATGCGAGTGTGTGACGTTATCTCCTTTGCTTATCAGGTGATGTTGTGCAGAGACAGACACAGCCAAACTCGTGATGGTTGTAATATTGCTAACCAGGTTTTTAGTGGGTTTACACTTACACACAGTTACTCACCCACCAGGAACCAAGGCATCAGAAGGCACTATAGAGGTTACTGCTACACTCAACAACACTCCCACACTGATCTAACACCAATGCCGAAGGAACTGATAAGTGTTTTCAGGCTTTTGATTGACCCACACGATTATATGGGTAGGGTTTTATATATATATATGAGGACGAAGATTTAAATTAATAACAGGACATTTTTTTCCATCTGTGTACATGTGGACTAGGCCTTATCTTGCCCTGAAGACTACAAACAGTGCAAAGGTAATAAAAGGCTCACAAATGGAAGTGCTTTATCTCGTTTGTTTAAAATGCACCAAATCCAAATTGTAAAAATTACAATTCAGTGCGTCTTTTTCTGCACAAATAGCAAATTTCCCAAACATTTTCAGAACTTACAAAATAATTTATGAACATTTTTTCCCCGTTGTCATGAACTACTGGATATGCTTGAATGCAGAAAAACTGGCACATGAATACTGCATGAGTTCTCTCTGAGCTTTAAAGTATGTTTAGTTGCACGTGAAGTCATGTTTAAGAAAAAAAAAACAAGACTTGATTTCGTCCTGGTCTATTAGCTTTTCCTGTGAGTGCATTACAGAGCTTTTAATTTATTATTTTGATTTCTATTAGATTTACTGGATCTTTTTTCTTCACTGTATACAATAAAGAATATAGTACCTGATAGGTCTTGTTGTCTCCCACAGTGAAGGGGAGTGGCTCAGGTAGGTTACTGGGAGACAGCTGAGCAGCATAATAATATGGGGATCCACCGTTTGAGGCACTGTGGTAAGAAACCGGGACCTGGGAAAAAGGATGTATTCACATTAAATAATATATTAAAAAGAATTCATCTATACTGTTGACTGACAAATGCAATATATACTCAGATAAACAGAAGGTTTTATTTGTAAAATGCAGTGGTCTATAAAGCTGAATGATTAATAGCTAGTTAGCTAACAAACCAAATATTCTGCAAAGACATAGCCTGTTAAATATATGCAGAATAGATTAAGAATCACCTCATAACAGTCAGAGGAAGTTTGGCGACGTGTCCGCTGAGGATTCACTTCCTCCACCACAATCTGGTATGCACTACAGACAAGTGTAAAAAGTAACACAACTATTAACTGCATTTTTTATTTCACAAATACAGCCTGATGTGACAAAATCACGAGTTTGGATATGTAGCATATAATGTATGATGCATACAGTACCTTATAGGTGCTCCCTTGGCCTGGGCAGGCTTCAGAAGGACAGTGATTGTTGTTGCAGTTTCATTCAAAAATGCTTCCGACCCGTCATACTCATCTATTGTCGGGGCTGAAGAAAGAGCATCAAAGTCTGTATTAGTCTACATATATCACCTCTCTATTAATTTAACTGTGATATCACAAATATTTGTGACAATAAGACACTGTAAAACTTGTTTTATACCTGAAATATTAGTAGTCACATTGAGTGTGGTTGCAGGACCAAATCCTTTGGAGGTGGACGCTCGTATAGAGAGCTGGTACGTGACACCAGGGTGAAGCTGGGAGAAGAGGTGATGAGTGGCATTTGAGGGCAGAGACACTGTCAGTCCCGGCCGCTGGAGAGGCACCGAAGGGTCAAATGAACGCACACCACTGTAGCTGATCTGAATCGGAGCGAAAAGACAGAAAATATTTTTTTAAATGAACAGATTGCATTGTTAATTTGGCTCCTACAACAGCTTCAACCACTGATACCACGGCCAGTACCTCATACTGTATGATGACTCCATTGGGCTCAGCTGGGTCCTTCCAGTAAAGAAGAATTCTGTCTTCAAATGGGGTGGCTCTTAGAGACTGACTGGGAACTGGACCAGGAACTATTAATGCACACACAGACAAAATTATCCAACACTAAAAAAATTAACAGCCAAATTCTGTCCTCTATAAATTATAGTTCAAGACATCTCTTAAAGCTAGTTCTGATAATAAACATACCACTAGCAAAAGACTCAAAAGTGAAGCACTTCACTCCCACCATTCATTCCTCTCCCTGCGATCAACACTCCGCCCAGTCCTTTCTCAGTTAATGCAGGAATTGGGAGGTTGCTAGCCTGTGAGTCAGCCACAAGGTTTTCTAACTTCCATGTAGTGCGACCAACTCACTTTTCTAGACTAAAACGTTTTTATAAGCATAAAACGTAACAAAACATTTGCATTAGAAAACCCTCTTTACGAAATCCATGCCCTGCAATAGCTAAAGTTGGGGATCAACTTTAGCTATTGCAGAAGCATGTTGATTGTGAGTTCCACCCCCTCACTTTCATCTTCTCTAATTTGTTAGAATGGTGAGGCTTGCTGGAAAACTTTACCAGGCACTGCAGCCAGGCTTTTCAATGAGTCTGGAGCACTGAAGCCTTTGAAAGCACATGCCCACTTTTGCTGTCATGTGTTGCATAAAATTGCATAAATTAGCTTTAAGTTTATCACACAAACAATAAACACATATACATTTTTAAATGAGGGGGAAAAAATGAAGTGTGCTTTATATGTCGCACCATCTTCATCAGTTTGTATGATGGTCTCGTCACTCTCTTTCCGCCCCTCTGGATTGGTCAGAATCATCTTCAGACTGACGTTGGTATAGGGCGGCAGGTTTCCCACCAGGTGGCGCGGTGCTGAGATAAAAAGAAACCGCAAAATCTTGTAAAACAATAATTTGAGAACTAAAGAATGTACTTGAAAATAAAATTAAATGAATCATTGATGATTAAAATACTGTTGCTTGCAATTATTTTCTGTTGATCAATTAATCATCAGTGTTTTTGGCTCTAAATGCATAAATAACCTGTGTTATTTATGCATTTCATGCAAGTCATTGCGAGTGTTGGTTAGCAAGAACTGATATTTGTGAAAAATCTATTTACATTAGGAAACACAACCATAATGCAGTCTTTACAAATTAAATACTGCATTCTTTACACTGTCATATTAAATGTATAACAGTAAAACAACAGTATAAGTGTAATAGTTATGCTAAATATTACCTTTAGGGTCCATGTCCAAACAGTCAGCCTTGCTGCGGTTGTTGGCAGCCATGTAGTGGTAACAGATTGTGACATTAAACGTGTGACAACGTGTGATGTTGTAACCCAGTGATTCCCAGTCCACCGCTATCAGACGAGACCTGGTCTCAGCAATCTTCAGCCTCTTAGGAGTCCGCATAGGTTCTACAGAAAGACAGCGAAGAATACAGAGAAAGAACCAAAATGGTGAGGGACAAATTTCTGACTTGGCTCTCCTTGAACACTTAATGCTACTGTATATGGTGTGTTCGACTGTGGCATTCTGATCATACTGTATCTATGCAGCTGAGGGAAAATAACCATGATATTCTGGTGAAACGTGAAGACACTTTACTTCAAAAGAACCTACAGATGTTGAGGTTTTTGAATTTCTGTGAACTGTGTGTTTGAAATGAAAATGTACTTTGTGCAGCCACAAAAAGACCAAATGTGCGAGTCAACCTTTTCCCTAGATAAAACATTTATTTCTCTTCCTCACTGCCATCCAATCTTTTCTCAAATGCAATAACTTCTACCAGGTACATTTTCAGTTTCCATCTGTATTCAGCGATGTTATTGTCAATATAATCTACCTTCTCTCCTGCCTGCCTGGCCTCTACACACACACACAAGACTGCAAATACAAACACAAACCTTTCCTCCTTTTGCTTTCTGCCCACTCAAATCAGTACCCTATATTTCAGGAGCTACACTGTGTGAAGAATAGGCCATATCCACCTTTTCTTAAGAAAGGTCCTAAGAAAAGTCTATGTCTGATTCATGAATTTGTTCTTAAACTGCAGAATTGTTTGCACCTGTGTTCTTATATTGATGAATCCCATGTGTTCCTAAATTGAATGCACGTGCCATTCGTTCCTAATTAGCATAGATTAATGCCCTGCCAATGAGACTGCAGGACCGTGTGCATGCATCTCACACAGAAACAGAAAAGAGAAGCTGAGAAAGCCAGGAATGCTACAATGAAAATCTCAAGACGGTGAAGCAACAAACTCCAAACCGAAGACAAACTCGAGTAGTTATGAAGTGAAGAACAACGAATGAGCTGCCATATTTAGTAGTGTCAGTAGTGGATATAGACTAAAACAAAAAAGGCATATCGGAGGCTCATACTCGTTCAATGAACACTGTATAAGGATAAGGTCGCACAACTGATGAAATAAAAACCCATCTACCTACAGGAGCTCCCCATCTCTGGAGGAAGGCTATTAACTTTACCAGCTACCAATCACCGTAGAAGAGGTATTTTTCTAGGTAAGAGAACTACCTTTCAAATTACAGCAGGTATCACTCAGTCAAGAAGGCTGTTATTACTCCAGAGGACATATTAATCCGTCTACCACGCACACAGTAATTACAGCTTCTCAGGAGCATGTATGACAAGAGCTAAAACACAACGCCAACATCTGGGTTACGACGTTTAGGCAACAGACATAAACTACATTGCCAAAAGTATTCACTCACCCATCCAAATCATTGAATTCAGGTGTTCCAATCACTTCCATGGTTACAGGTGTATATAATCAAGCACCTAGGCATGCAGACCGCTTCTACAAACATTTGTGAAAGAATGGGTCACTCTCTGGAGCTCCATGGTCGAGCAGCTGCATCCAAGCCTTACATCACCAAGTGCAATGCAAAGCGTCGGATGCAGTGGTGTAAAGCACGCCGCCACTGGATTCTAGAGCAGTGGAGACATGTTCTCTGGAGTGACGAATCACGCTTCTCTGTCTGGCAATCCGATGGATGCCTCAGCATACCAAGACATTTTGGACAATTTCATGCTCCCAGCTTTGTAGGAACAGTTTGGGGATGGCCCCTTCCTGTTCCAACATTGCTGCGCACCAGTGCACAAAGCAACGTCCATAAAGACATGGATGAGCAAGTTTGGTGTGGAAGAACTTGACTGGCCTGCACAGAGTCCTGACCTCAACCCGATAGAACACCTTTGGGATGAATTAGACCAGAGACTGCGATCCAGGCCTTCCTTTTCCAAAATCAGTGTCTGACCTCAGAAATGCGCTTCTGGAAGAATGGTCAAAAATTCCCATTAACATACTCCTAAACCTTGTGGACAGCGTGCCCAGAAGAGTTGAAGCTGTTTTAGCTACAAAGGTTTGGCCAACATCATATTAAACCCTATGGATTAAAAATCGGTTGTTACTCAAGTTCTTTTGCATGTGAAAGCAGGCGAGCGAATTCTTTTGGCAATATAGTGTATATTGATGCCTGTAGTGCACGCATGCTGTGAGTGGACTGTAAACTGAAGTAGAAAACATCTTGTGTCCAGTATTTAAACCTTTGAAATGAACATGATCTATATTCATGGATTTTATAGATTCTGGGCAAGTGGTACAGAGCCGGGGAATGAGATCCAACACAGATCCCTGCCCGGAAGTGAATCAGGGTCGCTGTAGTTAACGGTTAGTGCTCCAACCCTTACGTAACCAGGATGCCCTCAGTGCCCAGTATTACACTACACACAGTTCAGTTTACAAGTGGAAGGCTGATGATGTATGGCCCTGCTCAACTCGGTGTGATTGTACTGAACTATTCAACTGTCATTAGGAGTTTTTATTATTATATTCCCTGACCTTGTCCTCTTTTATACAACTTGAAATGAGGGGGAGCATGTAATACTACCATAAGACCGTGCTATACAGATCGAGCTACTGTACTGTGCTAACATTAAAAAGTATTCAAAGATAAACTGGGGTAAGAAGGCTAAACAATGACAGATATGGAACAAGGTTAAAGATAATTATGATAAACGAAATAATACTTTTGGCAATATAGTGTACATAGCTAGTGGCTACTAATGTCTAAGCTGACATCCCAGAAAGGAAACTAAACTTCGAGGCTACAAGGGTGTACTTTCAGGCTTTTCTGAAGAATGATTGGTGAGCTTGAGCTGCTTGTGTTTTATGTTTCTGATACATATTTTTAATAGAGAAGCAGAGGTGGAAGTATTTAGACCAGGAATGCTCCACTACATGAAGGGTTTACTTAAGTCCTATCAGTATTATCAGTAAAATGTACTCAAAATGTCAAATGTAGCAGTATGTCAGATTTTACAATGCTTGTATGAATGTACTGAAAACGAAATTAAAGTGCTTTTTTTTAACCAGTTAACACCATTATAATTTGATATTTTGACAAAAGGGTTATCACGACCAATATCTGTTTGATCAGGCCAATAGCAAATATACTTTAATTACCTGATACTGATCTTTCAGATTGGCTCAGAATGTCCTTAGACTAAAGTGGAATCTATCTCTGGGCAACCAGAACTATGTAAATTAAAGGTTTTGTTTATTGTTCCTTGTCATAAACTGGTAATCATTTCACCGCCTGTTAACATTTCTTCTTTTTTATATCTCTGTGATGCTGTAACTCACCTGCTCCCTTATGTCCTTGAAGGATTTTTTAATAAAAAGAGTTCACCTTAAATAGAAACGCAAGTCTCTCCCCAACCCCGCCTCGTCTCATTCTGTTTTTCCCTGGGTCTCCCTCCTCTCTCAGAGGAGACAACACAAGGACACAAACTTGTCGCTTCTTCTGACAACCCATTATCTGCCTGTCACTCACACACACATGCACAGAAACAGAGGCACAGACACTCTCACACTTAGTTATTACCCAAAAACACACACGCAGACACACACACACACACACACACACACACACACGGCCCAAACATCCTCACTCCCATAGTATAAAACTCAAACTGATCCTCACAACATATAGCCATGCAAGTACACACACACACTCAAGCTGGGATACAACCGAGATTAAATCTGGGGCAGTGCACATATAGGTGTTTATGTGGGTGTGGGTGTGTGCTTGTCTCAATAAAACTTCTCAATAAGAATGAAGTGTCAAGGGCTAACACAACTCTCAATACACACTGAGCTGTAAGGCAAAATACAAACATGTCAAGGTTTGCTAAGTCATTTGGATGTAAAGAGCTCACTAATAAAGAGCCACATAGACGTGAAAAAATGAAAAAGAAAGAAAGAAAAAACAGTGGAGAGAAGGTTATGGAGACACCAGCACAGGTAGATGTCTGTTGTGTGATTGTGTGTGAGTGTAAATAGGTGACGGGTCAGAGCATTTCATTTTTGCTTCGACCTGTTACTGGGTGGTTGACATTTAAACAGAATGAGAGGGAGACTCACTGCTGTCTCTCCCTTGCCTGTCTTGGTCTTTTTTTCTCTGTCTCTCTCCCTGTTTAATATATATTGATCCTCACCATAAACATGGCTATTAGGGCACACACACACACACACACACACACACACACACACACAGTTGGGGCAGTGTAATAAATAGTATTGATTTCAGGGTGTCCTCATACTAACACTGTCTCACAGTGATAGTCTTTAAAATGGAATTAAAGAAAAATACACAAACACACCCACACACACAGATACTTCTGTCCTCCATTTCAAAACCTTTCCCCCAGACCCATAATGCATTGCTGCTTATCGTTTTATATTTACCGTAGGTAGTGAAAGCAAGTGGAGAGTAAGGTGGGGGGAACAATGAGAGAACATGAGCAAAAGGAAAGAGAGAATGAAACAAAGAGGATACGAGAGAATGAGTGAGAAAGGAAGAGGAGACAGGGCAAAGAGAACAGCATAAATGAGCAAAGAAGAGTATAAAAACAAAGCGATGTGTGGAAAAAGGGGACTGGAGGGTGAGAGGGACAGATACAGGGAGCAGAGAGAGGAATGGGAAATAAAGATGAAAGAGGGAAGGAGAGAGGAGAGAGGAGGAATGGGGGGAAATGATAACTAGTTGGAACTAGGCCAGAGTCGAGTGGGACCTGGTCCAACGGTAAACCACAGAAGCTGCCTTGTCCCTTTCCCCTCCTCTGGTCGACAGACAAACGGTTGGATTCATGTTGGAGCTAAAAGGCTTTGTTTCCTACAGATGGAGCTTTGAAAACAACAACAATACCAATAAACACCAACAATAACACCAACGACAGTGAGCTTCATATCAGCAAGATCCAGAGGTTGGAATTAAAGAAAGGAAAACAAAAGGAAAGGAAATCAAACTAAATGAAATAGAACTATGCAAAGGGCAGAAAACAAAACCCTGTCCTTGAACATGAAACATCAGGAAGAGCCAAGAAATAAACAGGAAAAAGAGCAGGCGAGAGGAAAGCTTAGGGACAAGCAGAGAAGGACAGATGAACGAAAGGGGAAGAGGATAGGAGCAGGAAAGAGAAAAGGTTGACAGGAGATGCAACCTAACCCTAGTTAATCTGTCCAATTAGTCCCTGGTAATCCTTCCACTGCCATGAGCACAACAAATGAAAAGTCTGTTCATTCATTCTGTTCCTGACCAGATTTAAGTGCACATTTACACTGCACAATGTTTTTAATTTGCACTTACAAGGTAGAGGGAATTTGATGCTGATTTGCCAGTGTGGAGGCTAATAATGAGTTAGATGAGCCCAGAAGGTTTATTAGTATAGTTCAATGTGTGTGTGTGTGGTGGAGGTGGTGGTGGTGGAACCTGTTTGAAATCAAGAAGCTCAGAAGAAGAAATCAAAATATAAATTTCAAACACTTCAACATTTCACACCATCTGTATGTCAGAGGTGGGGGAGTGGAGTCACATGACTTGACTCGGGTCAGACTTAAGTCATAAATTTGAGGACTTGCTGGACTAACACTGGTAAAAGATTTGACTTTGACTTGGCATTCATAACTTAAACTAGCTAACAAATGCACAATTAATAATCAGAGGAGGTTTGTGAACATTGTACTTAAATACTTGATATTCCTATAACATTATCAGATCATCAGAATTTTGTATGACCTGACTTGTGACTTGCTTGACTTATAGTAGCAACTCCAGTTGATTTGGTTCATTCTCACCACAGTAACTTGGGACTTGCTTGAAACTTGAAGGTTAAGATTTGAGACGTGCAGACTTCCTTTAAAAGTAAAGGATGGCAATATTCTGTATTTTGATGAATGTCAAGAAATACAATGAAAAGAACAAAAGCAGCTTCATCTCTCACCACAAACCTACTGGCTCCTACTGACAATGTAAATCTTCAAAAGCCTGTCACATTTTTAAACACCCTTAAACAGAAATAAATATTTGTTGGGGACTACTTTCAGCAGCAAATGTTTACAGCAGCAGGTATGATGTGGGGCTGGCTCAAAACAACCTACACGGTTGAACTAAAGCAACCCAATGGCTCACTGATGTGTTTTAATGGTTTCTGGACAGCTGTGGCTGCAGAGTTTGGCAAAAGAATAAACTTATCATTAGTTTTGAACTTTTCATGAGATTTGTTGACAGGGAAAAAATATAGAATATTACCAGCTTCATCTATTAAGAGTGCAAGCCCACTCACCCATAGAAGTTTATGGTAATGGTGCACACTTATTGTATGAAATGTGCCATATATAACAACAGTTCAGCGAAGCTCACGGCCACAAATATGGTTTGTTTTTATTCTAACAGGGTAATGGTCCATTTTGTCTCCATCATGTTTTGTCTTTGAACTATCTTTTCAGCTGCCTTCAAACACTGTTTTGAGATTCAGAGAGTTTAAGGTTTTTCTCCTCCCAAATGTGCATGTAACTATTGAAGACAGAGCATTTTCCATGCAAAGCTGATGGTTGCAAAATATGTGAAGGTCAGTTAAACCATCAGAATTTGCCCATAAACTACCGCAGGCACGTGTTCAGTCTCTCTCTCACACACACACAACCAGAACATTACTGTAAAACTGAGACTCTCAAATGCACACAGCGGACAGACTTGACCCTTAAACCATCACACTGCTGACTGTGCATGATTATGTGTGTTTTCACATATATAAGGATGTACATGTGACATATTGAGTGCGATTCCTACAAAGTTCATGGTTGTGGTACCTTGGAAAATGTGCTGTTTGTGGTTCCATTTTTTTCCTTAATCCACACGATGCTGAGTTTGTGCAACATAAAATAAAAAAATTCTGTGACTCTCTTGAACTGTGTGTATGTCTGTACATTTCTCTCTATCTCTCTACCTCTTAGTGTGTCTGTCTTTTGTGTGTGCTCAGGCTTGTGTAACTATGGTTTTAGTATGCGCATGTCTATGCTTCGGTGTATATATGTGTGTGTGTGTGTATTGCCTGCCATGACCAAGAGGTTTTCAGCAGAAAATTCAGGATTTGGATTAAAAGCTACTTCATCACCTTCTCTTACACACACACACACACTCACTAACTCTTCACTTCAAGTTGATTATTTTCACCCTTCAGACAAGAGCAATAAATCACCACAGAAGAAAACTCAGGAAGAGTGGGAGAGAAGGAGAGACAGAAGGAATATGAGAAAGAAGTCAAGATAGAAAGGGAATAAAAAAACTCCAGAGGAAGAGACAAGAAGAAGACATACGAAGAGAAGAAGAGATGAAATCCTTCCTGTTATCATATCTGTTGCTCTGCAGCCTGTGTGGTTTCCGCTGCTTATTTTAACAACTTTATTGCTTTTTAATTAAACTATATTTTGTGTGGTGACACACTTGAGTTTATGTCCTGTGTTTGTGCACTCATTTCCCAGTGTGAGTGTACATGCATGTCTTCATTATATTGTGCTAAACGTCAGTGAACTACAGGTGGTGGGATCAGATAAACCTTAAAAAACAGAAAAAAGCAAAGGAATCGTTACTATTTAAATAACATTTCTACACTGTGTGTCTCACCTTCTTCACCTCAGACATGTACACTTTCACTTGGCTCAGCCAGAGAAGGAAACGACTCTGGTGTGCATGCTCCATACTGTATGTGTGAGTATGAGGAAGCCCATCAAGGCTTTTTTGTGAGCAACTGTCCTAGGAATAAATAGGGAGTCATGATAGATAAGTGTGTCCAGCTCTCTGTAATGGATCCACAACCCAGGCATTAAATAGTCTCACCCCTAATGGAAAAAACCACCAGTATTTTTGTATTTATAACTTAACTATTTCTTTAAAGCGTGATAATTCTTGTTTCATGAACTAACCTTTTTCAGTAAAAATGCTTTCCTACATGAGTGAGGATGAGAAGATTGATGTCCTCTTCCTGTCAAACAGGAGACAGTTCAATACATGAACTGAACAGGTCTATGACTTCCTGTCTGTCAGTAAACACACACATACAGATGCATTCACGCACACAATCACACACAGGTTGGCAGACATCATTCAGGCCCTGTGGTTATGAGTTTTCATCTCTCTTTCATTTTCATTCTCCAGTTTCATCATTCTCCCGCCTCACGCACTCTCTCCCCCTACTCCTATTCTCTCCTCTCTTTCTTTTCCAGTCTTATTGTTTTTCATCATCCCTCCACTCCCTTATTCTGTTACTCCTTCAAGCTCATTGCTTTTCTTTCTGTCTCTTTCTCTTTCATATCAACCCTCTCTCCCTTGGTCTGTCTCGCTCCCTCAGGCTAGCTGTGTTTATATTTCAGTCGTTTATTTCTACAAATGTCAGACAGTGTTTCTGCCCCCCGTCTATTGATCCACAGAGAGAGAAACTGATGGGGAGAGAGAGGTGAGGAGAGAGGGGGGAAAGGCAGTGACAAGGAAAGTAGAGAGAGAGATACAGAGGAATGGAAGATAGGAGATGAAGGAGTAGCAGCAGGGA